ATCTTGATGACGATAAGATGACCACTGTGGACTCTACATGGGAGGAACCCGACCAGGCCACTTCCTCCAGAGAATCTTCTCCAGAGCCACCGGACACCACACAGTCCTTCATGCACACGGATTCCAGCTTCATGGCCTCTGAGGAGAGCACGGGAGAGAGCACCAGACTAGTTGAGCCGGAATCCTCCAGGGCAGGGAGAGAACTGGGCACTCCCGAACAAGCAGAGAGCCAGTTGACAGAGCAGCAAGAGGGGGACGTTCCAACGGAGCTGAAGGAAGCAGTCCTACCATTGGAATATCTCCACATGGGCATCAGCAGCAGAGGGACTCCATCACTGCTTGTGCCCAGCCCCTCAGGGGTGTCTTCAGCAGAGCACAGCCTGGCCCCAGAGCCCCCTGAACACAGTCTGGCTCTGTGTTTGCACTATTCCTCCCTGCGAGAAGCTCCACATTCCACTCGCTCAGCGCACACCAGATTAAGAGCCGACATGCCAGTGCCTAACCATCAGCAGCTGCTCTTCACGGCTTCTGAGGAGGAGATCTACATCGGCGAGCCTGCTGTTCGTGACCAGCCCCCCGCAGAGCCTGGGGACGGCTGTCCCAGCACAAGCCAGGAAGCAGAGGGTCCTGCTGAATATTCAGGGCCAACAAAAACGGGCCCTGACTCGCTGGAATCCAAAGCCGTCATTGCAGAAAGCCTGTCGGTCAGCCTTGGATTGCTTGAGCCATCTGGTGCCTTGGTGGAGAACCCTGCTGACCCTCCAGCAGCATCTCGTGAGCGGCAGCAAATCACGGCCATGTTACAAGGCTCCTTCGGGAACCTCCAGACCTCCCAGCTCAAAGTGGGGCCTCTTTGTCCTGTGAGCAGCCAGATGGTGACAGAAGCACAAAGTGTCCTTGCCAGCCTCAAGGAGCGGGTCTTGGAGAGCTCCTCGGAAGAGGCCACCCCAGACTCCTTGGGGGCCAGCGAAGCACAAGACTGGGTGGTCGAAGTTCAGCCTGAACCTGAAACGCCCACTCATGAACTCGCCGCTGGCAGTGCCACCCAGCAGCCCAGCGAGGACCAGGGTGCTCGGCAGTCCTCCGAGGCCGAGTGTGCCTCAGAACAAGCACAACTGGAGAGCATCTGTGAGACGCTGCTTGCAGCGGAGGTGACGCCCAGCCCTGTGCTGCTCACTTCCTCCATGGGCAGCAGTGAGTCCGTGACCCCTGTGCTAGAGGAACAGGATCTCTCAGCAGAGGAAGACTCTGGCCTGCACAGTGAAGGGCCCTTGGAGGAAGAGGCCATCCAGGCTTCCTCTGGAACCCCTGCCAAAGACCAGGACCAGAGGTCACTGAGCCTGGAGGAGCCTGCCGAGCTGGGGATCTCACCTAGGGAGGAAGAGCCCTGGGAGAGCCCTGGGGAGGCAGGTGTAGATGGGGCCATGCCAGAGGCCAGCCAAGCAGGACACCTGCAGAGTCCACAGCATCCAGCAGACGGAGGTAATCAGCAAAGCCAAATCCCATTGGACGATACTGAAAGCAGCAGAGAGAATGAGACGCTTCCAACTACAGAAGCAACTGGTCCATTGATACTCCATTCCTCTCCTTCTCCTGAGCCCTCAACAGCTTCCCTGCCAAGTGATTCCCAGCCTCCCAAGTCTCCTCCACCAGAGCCTTGCCCCATCCCCGCGGCTGCTCCTCTCCAGCCAGGTCGGCCTGCCTCTCCTGAAGCCACTGTGGAGGATGCACCTTCCCCTCCTCCTTGCTCTGAACTCATAGAAGTGCCTCCTGCTTTATCCTTCCTGCCACCTTGCTCAGAGGATCCTATCCAAGGCCAAAAAGACACCTCAGGGCTCCCCGCATCTGACACGCTCTCTGTCGCAGAGGATGCTCACGCTGAAGACCAGCCATCTCTCCTGCTGGATTCCAGGAAATATTTAGAAGGTAACGTCCCTTCTTCCCCCTCCTGCTCCCTGTATTAGGGGATGAACATCTGCTGGGAATGACCTGGTCTGCCCAGGTCAGGGAGGGTAGAAGGCAGCTGCTTCTCTAATCCTCTCCCTTACAGAACAGGCCAATATCCGTGTAGGCTTAGTGGACCTAGTGCCAGTGGTCTTGGTGGGCCCTCCGAGGATAGGCTTCTCCAGCACAAACCTCCACCAGCAGTTCTGGCCTAGTCCTATGGAGACGTTTCTCTAAAGCACTTGGCATCTGACCTGCTCCCTTGGGAAAGTGTCACTGAGTCAGAAGAGCAGGGAGAAGCTTGCAGTGCATTTGACCAAACGTACAGCTCCTGGGGCTGAACAAGAGTTTTCCAGCTCCCCTTGCTGCCAGCCCTTAACCTTCCCCCATACACCAACGGGACTAAACCCAAACCCTGGCCATGGGGCAAGTGTGAAGGCCCCCAGTTCTGCTCCAATATGGCTCAGGCAATGCTCTAAGGTTCTTGCCCAAGCCCTGTGTTTGGACTTAGGAATGGGACTTAGGACTCGAGCAGGCTAGACTCTCATTGCATCTTGTAACCTTCGTGTGAGCCAGGAACCACCTACCCCAAGGTAGGCATGATGTGGTTAGCACACTACTACCTCAAATGTGTCACAGGGACGGCTCCGTGGATAGCATCCTTCCCTCCAAGTTGGTACTGAACCAGCACCCATCCAAGGCGCAGGGGAAAGGGCTTGCCCGGCTGCTGGGTGCCCCTAACTGATGCTCCTCAAGACCAATATCCTGACTCCTTTGGGCCATGAAGGATCCGTGGTGCTCCTTGAAAGAATAGGTGATGGGCTAGCCAAGCTCCAATCAAATTAATCTGCAGCTTCAGCTGGGAGAGTGTCCTTGACACTCTCTCTCAGGCTGGTGCTAGTAGATGCCTCATTCCACTCCAGAGAGCTGCATTTCTGGCTATGGTGAGGGATGATGGACAATCTCAAGCATGCGTTGCAAAGGTCACTAGGTCTCAGACTGGGAGGAAGCTTCTCTCAAACAGCAACAGCTGCATTCCTCATCCAGGGGGTCCCAGACCTTGAGGCTCTTATCTCCTGCCCTGGCCACGTCCTCTCTGCCACGTCAGTGACCTCTGCAAATCTCTGAACTCCGTTAAAGTGCTGGGTGATGCTGGCATCTCCCAAAGGTGGCAGCCCTTTCTGCCTAGCCTCTTGGCTGGCAGGCAGGCCTGCTCTGCTAAAATGAACTAGGCCACTACATGAAGGAACAGCTGGAATTAGCCAATTAATCGCTGCTCTTAAAGAAGCCTTCCCAAGAGGGCAGGTCTGGTGGTCCTCACAGCTGGATGCTGATGCTGTGCGTGGCAGGACAAGTTACTTATCATAGAATCACAGAAGATCAGGGTTGGAAGGGACCTCAGGAGGCATCTAGTCCAACCCCCTGCTCAAAGCAGGACCAATCCCCAACTGAATCATCCCAGCCAGGGCTTTGTCAAGCCGGGCCTTAAAAACCTCTAAGGAAGGAGATTCCATCACCTCCCTAGGTAACGCATTCTAGAGCTTAACCACCTTCCTAGTGAAAGCTTTGCCTAATATCCAACCTAGACCTCCCCCACTGCAACTTGAGACCATTATTCCTTGTTCTGTCATCTGGTACCACTGGGAACAGTCTAGATCCATCCTCTTTGGAACCCCCTTTCAGGTAGTTGAAAACAGCTATCAAATCCCTCCCTCATTCTTCTCTTCTGCCAACTAAATAATCCCAGTTCCCTCAGCCTCTCCTCATACGTCATGTGCTCCAGACCCCTAATCATTTTTGTTGCCCTCCGCTGGACTTTCCAATTTTTCCACATCCTTGTAGTGTAGGGCCCAAAACTAGACACAGTACTCTAGAATGGGGAATGATCACATCCCTCGATCTGCTGGCAAGGCCCCTACTTATACAGCCCAAAATGCCATTCGCCTTCTTGGCAACAAGGGCACACTGTTGACTCGTATCCAGCTTCTCATCCACTGTAACCCCTAGGTCCTTTTCTGCAGAACTGCTGCCTAGCCCCTCGGTCCCTAGTCTGTAACAGTGAATGGGATTCTTCTGCCCTAAGTGCAGGATTCTGCACTTGCCCTTGTTGAACCTCAGGACAAAGGGCCAGGTCTCCAGCTGCTGTTAACTGTCCCGTCTCTGATCTCAGTGGAGCTTTACCACCTCGTACCAGCTCAATGTCCACTCTCCAAACTGTCCATGCAAGTTCCAGCTTGAGGGGTCATACCCCCGCTAGCCCGAGCAGCGCTCGTGTGCTTAAAAATAGTGTCGCCATGGGAGTGTGAGTGTTACTCACACTCTAGGGCAGTGGTTCTCCATCAGGGGTCCAGGGCCCCCTGAGGGGCTATAAGCAGATTTCAGGAGGTCCACCAAGCAGGGCCGGCATTAGTCTCGCTGGGGCCCAGGACAGAAAGCCGAAGCCTCACTGCATGGGGCTGAAGCCCAGGGTTTTCAGCCCCACCACCTGAGGCTGAAGCTGAAGCCTGAGCAATGTAGCGTTGGGGGGGGGGGGGAGGGGGGCGAGGCAATTGCCCCTGCTTGCTATCCCTGATGCCGGCCCTGGGTTTTATATGTAGAAAACCAGTTGTTATGGCACAGGTGGGCCATAGAGTTTTTATAGCAATGGGGCTGGGGGGGCGCTCAACGAGAGGTTGAGAACCCCGCTCTAGGGCACTTCACCTTTACCCTTCTGTGGGCCTGGTTAAGTTAGGCACCCCCCACCCAGACCCAGTTCCTAGGGCTGAGAGTTTGCAGGGCCTTTTATCAGCGAAGTGGCCTTACCCAGTAATCTCCTTAACCTCGAACAGCTACCGACCCGCGTGCCCACGCTAAGCACCCAGTGCTCACCACTCCCAAGAAAGCAGGTGCACTTTGGCCAGTCAGGATTAGGTTGGGGGAGGGGGCTTCCCCAGTTTCCTGCACGATGTGGTTGGCAGGATGTTGCGGGCTGGCAGCTCTGAGCGCGGGCTGTATCCTGGAGTTGGTTCCCAAAAGCACTTCCTTCTGGACCCCAGTTTATAGAGTTAAACTTGAGTCCTGCTTAGCTCTACCTTACCAATCGTTTTCAACGGAAGTCCTACCAAACCGTATTCTTCACCAATCACAGCCCATTACAAAACAATTCTTGACCCCCATCAGAGCCCACCACCTTAGTTGATTTAAATCTTGCAAAATTAGGTATGCCACAGACTGAAACGATCAAAGAACCAGCCAGAGGAACAATGGAGAAGTGGGGCCCACAAAGGCAAAACAAGGGCAGTAGATTTCCCACTCACAACTGTTCAGTGATTCCTTGCTAGATGGAACGCTGTCAAACCAAAGTGTTCTTTCCACAGCCTAAGCTCTGTTTTTCTCGGACGGTGGGTGCTACTAGGACAGGATCTCTCCTAACTGCCCGATATTTCATTGGTTTGATGCAATCTAGATGGAATGTGAGGATGTGACTCTCCGCGTCTTAGCCCAGGGCTGTTGCTGTCCTCATGTGGCTTGAGCTGCTAGCCCCCATGGCTACATACTCTCTCAGTGAGAGCCACGGGTAGGTCTCCTTGAGCAGGAATTTACACCTCCTGCTTGAAAAGAGGGCTCCAGATGGATTCCCTTTGTAAGGCACTAGAAGGCTGGGGGGAGCAGGGGACTGGGAATAGGACCCCGGGTTCTGGTCCCAGTGCTGCCACTGAGAGGAGAAATGTGTCCCCATGCAGTGGGCCCCCGCTCTGGAAACACTAATCTATGTCCAAGGGGTGGGGCAGGAACCCAGCCTAATGCAATTCCTCCCTCCCCTGCAGCTTTGGAGAGCTCCGTGTCCCCAGTCCCATGCAGAGACCCCTTCCTCAGCACCCAGGATTCCCGAGGGAGGCCCCAGCTCCCGGGGAACAAAGACGCCAGAGGGAGGGGTTCCGCCTCCGCAGAAGAGAGGCGAGCCCACCGCGGCTCCATCCAGTCGGAATCAAGCTCTTCCAGCGAGAGCGAGCTGCCCTACCGCTGCCCGGAGATCGAGAGCCTGCGCGAGGCGGCTGGCATGGCCTTGCTGGAGGACAAGCCGCTGGTGGGGCAGAGAAGCTGTGAAGTTAACCATAAAGGTACAGGTGTTGCGGGTGGGAGGAAGGGGAACGGCCTCCTCCCTGACCCTACTGAGCTCCATGCAGCCTCTCCTGTTCGAACGCCCTCTGCTAGTTCACCGGAGCACAGCAGCTCTCCTGCAGCAGGCGGGTGTCTCTGCAGAACCTCTGGGGAAAACACCCTACAAATCCTCCACTGCTCATCAGCATGGTTCCACTGATCGCAATGGAGCTCTCCTGACCTCCTCCAGCCAGACCCCTGGCCCTGGGACTACTGGGTACCACAGCCAGCCTCGAGGTGTAACAGTGCCAGGCTCCGTCCCAGGGGGTAGGGCGGGGTAGGACGGGCAATGGCGCTTGCCCTAGGAGCTGGCTTGTGGATGCCTGCAAAGCAGGAAGGCTGATCTAATCCTTGTCTCCCGGCCAAACGGCAGAGCCACATTGGGCTCCTGTAATAGCTGCCGGATAGCATCTGACCAGGCTCTAATGGGGCTGCTGCGCGGCCTCCTGCATTGTACGGCTGAGTGTGTGCCGCGGGGCGGGGGAGGGGTGCTCCAGCTGGAGCTCTTGCAAAGCAAACCCTCTTGAGTGCAGCTAACAAAGGAGAGCGGCTTGGCTGGCTGCGCTGCCCTCCGGACCAGCTGCACGGTGGGGCTTTCAAAGCTTTCCATTTCCCCTCTTACGCAAACAGGCCCGTTCCTTGTCCAGCGGGAACTGAAACACACGGGGGGAGGGGAAGGAAGCGTTGCTGGATTCAGAGTTTCTCGCCATGCGATTCCCAGCACTGACTTGGAGGCCCAGATAAAACCTAGGTCTGTATCACTAGCGCTTCCCAGTCCCACACCACGGGCTCCCGGGGCCTGTGCCGAGGAGCCGATCTCCGCTCGGACCGGGATGCTAAATCCCTGAGGGGTGAGTGGGGTTCTAGGCCCTGGTTCGCGATGGTGCAATATTAAAGCAAATGAGGGTGGATGTGACTGTGCCCCTACCTAGCATGGGGCATGTACCCAGCTTCCCGTCCCACTCTGTGCTGGGGGAGGGGGGGGGC